CATGAGTCTGACAACTAAGTAAGTAGATAAATAACTTTAAACTTTAACACATGCTCTGATAGGCTGGGATCGGTATCGGATCGGAAGTGGGAAAAAAAGCTGAATCGGGACCTCCCTAATTAAAACATTAATGTCTGATGGTGTCAGTATGAGGCCAGAAGGTCAAAGGTTAAAAAAGAGTGATAAAAAAAGTGTCATGGCTGGAAGCCACAAAGGAATCTCCTCAAATAAGGAGGTCTGAGGAGGGAAAACCCAGAAAAACAATGTCCTTTTGTATGAATCCACCCGATAAAGCTGAACCTCTGAGCTCTTCAGACTAGGGTTGTCACGATACAAAAATTTTCAACTCGATACCGATACTCAAAGATAAAAAGAAAGACCCCAAAATTCAACTGAATTGTGTCTTTAATTTCAAACTGACTTGTTACTGATGTTATCGTGACTGGTGGCCCACATTAATGACCCTGACCCTAACCCTAACCCGAAATAAATATTTTTTGGTTGAATTTGTTTGGACTTATTGTACAAACCGATTTAATATACAATATTTTAACATAATATGTATAGAGTTTAATTAAGTGTTTGAAAGATTCATTTTACTATTTTTAAATTAATCTCTATATTGCCATGAAGCAATTAGGATTTTCTTGCCTGGGATCTTCCTATTGGTGACCTAATCAAAATGGCCGACTTGGATGTGGGTGGAGTTGGATATGTACTTGATTAATGGTAGCATGTTATTATTAGCCATTAGCCGCAGCTAGCAAGGCTAACGTCTTGTTAATGATCATAAACAACGTAAATAAATACCTGAATAAATCAGAGAGAAGGGGGTGGTGGAATCGACACTTTTGAAAATGAGTATCGTATCCGGATACAACATTTTAGTATCGGTACTTTTTTGAGTATCGATACTTTTGACAACCCTAGACTGACGGCTGCCTTTGTCTTCCAGGTTCCTGTTGACGCGCTATGCAGAGTCTCTGGGTCAGTTTGCCGCCGCCTCCCAGTCGTGTAACTTCTCCCTCAGGTTTTTCCACTCCAACCAGAAAGATGTAAGCCCCGCCCCCCTCCCCACTCCGAAACCGCCCGCCACCCTATCTAAACAACTCCCAATTTGTTTCCCTTACCCAGACCTCAGAGTACATCATCCAGGCCTACAAGTACGGGGCGTTTGAGAAGATCCCGGAGTTCATCGCCCTCAGGAACCGTTTGAACCAGTCGCTGCACTTCGCCCAGGTCCGCACGGAGAGGATGCTGCTGGACCTGCTGCTGGAGGCCGATATGTGAGTCCAGGAGCGGGGTCCCGGCCCTGAGAGGCCAAAGCCGGGCCTGAAGGGCCCGTGTGTGGGTCTCTGTTAGGGATGAATTGAATTGAATTGAATTGAATATACTTGTCAGGGTTATGCCCCTAAACACTTCTGAATTCGCTGCTGTAAGAGGACAAAAATAGACAGACACAGTAAGTACAGTGAATACTTGCAAGGAGTGCAAGGAGAGCACCGGAGACCTTACAATCTCCAACCTACTCTGAGCTCTCATGCTGCTCCCCTCTCCATTTATTTGGTTCCACCCTATCACAGATTTGTTACATCATCTCCTCCAAAGACAGTAGGGACACACATGTTTGATTGGACATTGGTCTAAATCACAGGATGCACTGATTGAACAGGAAGACAGCCGATGTAACAGGAGGAACAAAGTCCAGTTGTTCCTCTGTTTCAGCTGCCAACATGGAGTGTTGTCTCAATGGTCACTACTGTGGTCAGCAGACACCATTATATGCAAAACAGCTTGTGCTTATGACGACACACTCCTGCCTACAGACCAAGCACAGTTAACCCAATTACATACACACACACATATGTAATTCAGAGAATGCATGATAACTTATGGAACATTATTCTAACAATACTTTATTGATCTCCAGGGAGAAATTGACTTCCAGTACAGCCCGTACCAAGATCAAACAAACAAAACACATAGACACACCAGTTCGGGAAGACTGAGGGCAGCCACACAGGAGGGCGCAACAATTTTTCTTCAGAACAAAAAGAATACATTGGGAAAGCGGTTGCGGGAAGAGGGAAAATAACAGTGATTTAAAAAAAACACCTCGTACACTAAAGCACAGATACAGTCAAATCACAACATCAAGGACACATAGGGAGGGAGGGATGGGGGGATTGGAAGGAAGGGGAAAGGTTGACAGCGAGGCAGTGAGTCCAAGGAATGCATGAAGGATGGGACGGTTTCTGAAAACCTGGTTTGGTTCGTGTGTGTTGCGTTCGGTTCATGCTGCTCCTTTTTCTCAGAGGGAAGCGTTTACACTCCAGAGCAGAAGGGGGCGCTACTGCGCCCAAAGCCAACCACCAGTAGGAAACAAGAAGAAGAAGCGTAGCAGATAAAAATCCGACGCGCCAACAGCAGTTTATATGTCTGCTGTATTTTTTTATTTATTTTTATTTAACCAGGAAGTCTCATTGAGATTCGGAATCTCTTTTTCAAGAGAGACCTGGCCAAGGTAGCAGCCAAACCACAAAAAAAATAATCATACATAATACATTTTACATAATAAAATGGGACCACTTTGCATTAAGAGTGAAGCACATGTTGGAACTAGCACTGTTTCCTCTCTTGCAATGCCAGAATCTCACCGACTTTTAACCTAAGACTGTCACAATAATGTATCAAATGTCATACTGCTTTTTTCTTTCAGTTTTAACCTGACTATACAAGACATAATAGATTTTCCTAACAATCAACATACAGTGGGGGAAATAAGTATTTGACCCCTTGCTGATTTTGCAGGTTTGCCCACTTACAAAGAATGCAACGATCTATAACTTTAATCATATGTACATTCTAACAGTGAGAGACCGAAACCTAAAGAAAATTCCAGAAAATCACATCATTTGAATTTATAAAAATTGATAACCATCTGATGAGGAAAAATAAGCATTCTTTGTAAGTGGGCAAACCTGCAAAATCAGCAAGGGGTCAAATACTTATTTCCCCCACTGTATACCGAACCGAACCGAAAACCGTGACCACGAAACCGTGCATCGAACCGAACCGTGGATTTTGTGAACCGTCCCACCCCTAATATTTGTGTGTGTGTGTTTCAGCGTGCTGAGTCTGGAGGAGAGCCTGAAGGCCATGGCCCTGTCGCCCGATGAGGACGATGTTCCCTGGGACACTCTGAGGGACAACCGGGACCTCACCGTCTTCACCAACTGGGACCCCAAAGACAGGTGACACCCGGTTTACAGACGCTTTTATCCAGAGCAACTACTTAAAAGAGGGTTCCTTTTTTATCCAGAGCAACTTCCAAAAAGAGGGTTCCTTTTTTATCCAGAGCAACTTCCAAAAATAGGGTCTCACTTTTATATAGAGCAACTTCCAAAAAGAGGGTTTCACTTTAAATAGAACAACTTCCAATAAGAGGCTTTGACTTTTATCCACTCGCCTCCAAAAAGA